CCTGCATGGCCAAGGCTGCTGTGTGGTTTGATAAGGACGGAGACCCACGGTGGCGTGGGACAGTGAGATGCACCAACCCTAGTCTCCCCAATGCTTCTAAAAGTCATCCTCCCCACTTGGCAATTTGCCCTCTTGGTGGTCCTCTGTGTTAGGTGTCCAATTGCTTACTGCAAGGTCAGCAGTTCAAACCTACCAGTGTCTCTGCAGAAGAAAGATGAGGTATCTGTTTCTGCAAAGATGAACAAGTCCCAGAAACCCTTCGGAGGGGCACAATGAGTCAGAACGGACTGGATAGCAGTGGGTTGGGTTTGGTGTCACTGTGACAGGAGTTAACTTAGGAACCGCCCTCGAAGGCCTTGCCAATTTATCTCTCAGCACAAACACCATCAAGACCCCTCATACAAGCCACAGAGCCACGCCGGGGATTAAGATGAACGCGGCTATGTTAAAATGACACTAGACTGCTTACAGAATTGGGAGAAGGACCAAAAGACCAAGTTCAGAGCTACACAACTGAGAACACAGAGAAATCATGTGGCAACATTGGGCCAGGGAGGGGTCCCTGCTGTGTTGACCATGCACCAGACACTTCTAGACAGTACATCCACAATCCTTGCACCTGCCCTTCCACACCTTGATGCTCATGTAAACATGACTACCACCCGAGAAGATTGCCCTCTATCCGGGGAGACTACAAACGAAAACTCTACTGAGATGTCATTTCTTATCTGGGGCATTTGACAAAATCCAAACATGTTGATGTGAATTCTGTTGCAAGGCTTGGGGGACGCAGGGTTGGTGTGAGTGTGAAAACACAGAGAAGAGTGTGCACCGGTGAGCAAAGTCACAGGAGAACTGCCCCTCTGGGTCTCCGAGACTATAAATCTTGCTAGGAGCAGAGAGCACTGGTTTTCTCCTGCAGAGCAGCTCGTGGATTTGAATGTGTAACTTTGCAGTTGGGATCCCAGTGCACTGCCTCACCAGGGCTCCCTAGTATTCACTGTAGTACTGCTTAGAATAGCCAAAGACTTCCACCCACCCAGACATCTCCCAAATAATGTGCATGACAAAGATATATGCAACTGTGACAAGAAATGTAGAAGACGGCTACATATTGATATGGAACGACCGATCTCCTGCTCAGGTTGCTAAGGGAAAGCACCAAGGTGTCTACGAGTGTTCATGGGATGCTGTCTTTTGTGCAAGAAGGGCAAAGACCTAGGAAATACAGGTAACTTTGCATGTATTTTGCAATACAGAACACTGACCCCATAAACCCATGTGGTAAAGTAGGTGGCACAACATCACACAATCTAAAACATCATGTTTTGATTGTACAGAGCCAGGGGATCTATGCTAAGATCAGATATCATCGCAAATGAATCGCACCTTCAGTCTATGGTCTTGTGGTCAGTGCTAATCGTGGTATTGTTATTTTGCACAATTCTATTATGATAAAATATACTATTATGGAATAAAGCAAATACATGATTAGGTTATTATGGGGGCACAGGTTTTTCAGCATGAGAGAAATGAGATACAAATATCACCTTAAAGAAGTATGCGGTTTTGTAAGGGTGTGTTTGGATTGGACTATCAGCATACATTTAGGATTTTTTCATTGTCTAAAAATACATCTATCATGGTCTCACACACACTAAAAAACAGTCAAACAAAACAACTAGTTCTAATGGCAGTCCTGTCACCAGGAGCTTGTTTAAAGCTCAGACTGAGGTTTAAAACCAGGATACCTGGGAGAAATGGCTGACTGCACATGTGGAGCAGGGAATGTAGACGAAGAGCCGATGGTGGCATGCCTGGAGAGAGCTCGCACTGACACCTGAGATGGCACACACCGGTAGCCCGGTAGCGGAGTGCCCACTCTCACTCACTGCCCTTGAGTTTATTCCGACTCATTGTGACGCTGTGGGGCAGGGTCGAACTGCTCCTGTGGGTTTCTGGGATTGTATCTCTTTACAGGACTAGAAAGCCTCATCTTTCTCCAGCACAGGGGCTGGTGGTTTCAAACTGCCGACCTGCCGTTAGCAGCCCAGTGTGTAACCCACTGCACCACTAGGGTTCTGGGTAAGAAATTAAGGAAAAACAAATAGAAGAGTGTGATCATATCACAATGACAATTGAGGCTAAGACGAAGGGCGCCCCATTGTCCTAACACGGGGCAATGTGTGTGTTAAAATGAACATTGCCTTGTGCTCACACAGACTTGCACACGCAAAGTCCACAGATCGCCATGGCAACTGCTACAGGGCATCAACTCACTATCCTGAAATTAAAAAAAAAATTTTTTTTCTTAAGGTTTTAGCCTGCATTTCTTAACTGAACAGTTGATGGGGCCCCCTGACTACCACTTTCATCCCTCAGGGGGACCACAAATGTTGTGTGCCTCCCACACTAGGCTGTACTACCGACAGAGTTGTCGTGCCTGTCAAAAGTGCCTGGCAGAAAACCCGAGCCCCACGCTAGTTCCACCAGCAACCGGCCAGCTCTTGAATGTACCGCAAGTCGCTGGAAGACTTCCATACCACAGCAAAGGGTCTCTGGTCAACAGCCCCTGCCGTAGCAATCAGTATTTCCTGGGAAAGTCTGGGAGAATGAGTCAACTGTTTCCCTAACAACCATATCCACCCATCAGGGAATTTGGGCAGTAGATTTCCTTCCGAAGATTCAATGTGTCAAGGTTATCCCGAGGACACGAAGCTTTCAAGCTCAGTTTTGCTTTCCGATGGTGTGAGGTATCCCTGGTACACTTGAACCCCGATTTGTTTCATTTTCAAGAGCTTCCCCTGAAAGAAAGAAGGTTTCTGTGGTTTGAAAACAGGGGAGAATACTGATGTGGGACATTTTCCCAAAGTATGCCTTTGGCATCCTTTGAGGCTAAGGAAGGTGTATTTGAAAGACTCATTGTCTTTCTTTTGACCCATCCTAGGAGAGAATAGGTCTGATGTGTAAGGCAGAAAGTGTGAAAGTGTCAAAAGGTTTAATAAATTGCTAATCACATTGGAAGCATCTTCTTTAATACAAGGTCGACAACCCACAATGACTACCACCAAACAGGCACTGCAGGGAGGTCCTCAAATCTGCAATTGTTAAAAAGAGTAACCTGGTGAGGTTCCATGATAATTGTGCCAACCTGGCCAATAGGAACATGTGGAATCAATCCTGTTGCAATTTGATTGGAGAGCCAAGAGATAATGGCTCTGCGAGGAGCCAACCCCATCGCTCTTGCTCTCTGGTGATTAGAGTGTGCTGGAGCATTCATGCTGCTGCGGTAGCTGGTTCTCTGCCTCATCCTCTGAGCTACACCACCTGTGGGCCAGGCCAGCCTGTGGATCATGTCGCTAGAACTTGAGGCTCCTTCGAGATCTACTTCGCCAATTGATGGTGCGTGCATCACTTGAGCTTGAGGCAGGTGGATTCTGTCACCTTGCATTGCTTGTGTTCAACATCCCATCCAGGGCTGCTTTGCTAAGCTCTTGAGCTACTGACTGTTGGTGACCCACCCTGCTGCTTGCTGCCTGTGGGCAGACTCTGCTTGCCCCAGGAGGACTCTGCTGTCTGCTTCCTTGACCTTGGACCTGACAGCCCATGTGAATTGAAGGACTTCCAGAATATTAACTGTTCCACAGAAGGGAGTTGAACTGAACCCTCTGTACTGCTGGGTGGACTAATTAGCTGTAATATTCCTTCTTGCTGTATAAACCTATATATATGTGTATGTATATACATATGTGTGTATATATATATTTATATATACATATATAATCATAAGTGTCCTAGTCTCATTTCTCTAGAGAATCTGCCTAACACAGGTGGGCTGGATGGGGCTCAGACTGGTGTGCAGACAAAGAATGAGTAAGGCAACCTGAGGAGGCCTCATCTCCTCCAAAGACATCCTCACATGACAGAGACCACCTCCCTAATGTCCAACCCAGAAACCAGAGAAGCCTCCTTGCCTCCTCTTCCCACCCCTCTCCTTCCACATCTACCCAAATCCCACCACAACACCATGTGTTGGCCATTCTGCTCCCTTGAATAACTTCCAAGTCCCTCCGAGTCCCTCCTCTGTCTTCATTAAGGTCCCCACCATTCCTCTCCTGTGTCTAGTCTTATAACTTCTCAATACTGCTGATAAGGAAGGAAAAAGCTTCAGTTTCATTAACATATCTTCAGGATACAGTCCAATCTTCAGAGCACAGCTTATAAAACCCTTCAGCATCCGGCCACTGTTGCCTTCTTCAGATGTCTCTCTGAATCCAGTCACACACTAACATGCATGCATGCACACCTCACATCATCAGCCAAACGGAGCTACTTGCAACTCCCTCAACATCATGCTTTCTCTTGCCACAGTGCCTTGGCACATGCTCCCCCTTCTGGCTGTCCTTTCTGCTGCGTCTCCTCCACCTCTTTCAGTTTGCTGCCTCCAGCTTCACCACACACATCACCTCGTCTCATCAGTCTCCCCGGTCTTTCCCTCCACTTACCTCCAACTGCAGTGGAGTTCCCATAGTCCCTTATACATTTTCTACCCCAGTTCTTGCTGTACTGTAGCTATATGGTCATCTCTTCATCTCCCCTACCACCCTGTAAGTGCTGGGAGTGCTGGGAACCTGCCCTTTTCAATCACTGTATTCACAGGGCCTGACAGGGTGCACCACAGCGCTTCCATCTATGTTTGTTAAACCCATGATTGGCCACCTCCCCAGCTTTATAAGTCTACCACTGAAAAGGTGCCCGGAATTCCTTTGCATGTAGTTCGAACGAGCTACGTGGTGTCACCTTTAGTAACCACGGGACCACAATCCCCTGGTGGTTTCCTGCCTAGAGACTGCAAGCCTTTAGCCGCCTGTGAGTCAGAATCTTCTTGATGGCAGTGAGTCTGATGTGTTTGTTTTTCAAGCCATCTGAGCTCAGCCTGTGTGCCCCGTCATTGCTGAGTCAGCAGGAGGACAACCTGCAGGCTCCCATCGGCCACTCACCTGGGTGAATCAGGCAGGAGTCACACTCGTTCTCCTCGTTCCGGCAGCAGGGGATGGTGTAACCCACGACCTCCTTCTTCCCGGGGCAGACGCACTCGATCTGGTCGTATTCACAGCACTCACGGCACATGATGTTCCACTCGGCTCCGGGGCAAGCTTCATTAATGACCGTGTACTCTGAAAGGGAGGAGAAAGCCAGTCGTGGAGGGCCTCAGACCTGGCAGAAGTGGTGAGGTCTCTACCCAACGGTACCGTCCTGCTACAAAGCCACCTGGTGTCCTGCAGATGCGGTGCTCCATCTGAATGCTGGAGGAAATCCCCATGACGCCTTCCTCGACCAGGCAGCCCAAGTGGGGTGGGCCTACCTCCCAAGGGCGCTCAAAACCATCATTTCCATTACAGATGGAGTAGGTTAGAGTGGCTACTCAATTTCATTATCTCAATCGTTATTTTTATAAAAGGGAAAGAAATCATTCTTGCCTAATAGAGAATCTAAGTGGGTTGACAAATAGAATCATTGCAGAATGTATACACAAGAAAACATGTCTCAGGGGTCTGACCTGGGTTGAGTGGTGTGTGTCTCTTTCCCCCAAAATCCATATCCACCTGGAGCTTCAGAATGAATTATTTGGAAAGAGGTCCTTTGCCGATCTAATTCGTTCCTAGGGTTACACTAGATTCGGGCAGCTCCCAAATGCAATGATGTCCTCACCAGACGAAGAGACCGAGATAGAACACCGCATGGCGAGGACAGAGCTGGGATGAGGTCGTTACAAACCAAGCGATCCCACGGATTGCCAGCAACCACCAGTAGCTAGGAACGGACAAGGCAAAATTCTCCTCTAGAGGCTTCAACAGGAGCCTGCCCTTGCAACTGGGACTCCTGGGCTCCAGAACGGAGAGAAGCGTGGCCCTTGGTTACACAGCCCGGCGACACCAATGCAGAGCCCACGCTCCTGTCTGTTTGTCAAGGCGCCCCAGCCGCGGCTTCCCGCCGGAGGTTGTGCACCGCACGAGACAACGGGAGAGCATTCAACTCAGGGCAGTGCGTTACCATCTAGACATGGGGGCCAGGCAAATAGTGGGGCGCCCACTCTCCACCCGAGGCCATTCAAGTGTGAGGCGGATTGCCAAGTGGAACGGCTATCATTTCCTCCAACCTTGGCGCCTCTGTTTCCCAGCATACCGTTCTCATGGTATCTTCAAAGCTAAAACCAACAGAAAGGACAAAAAGCACCTTAATTAGTATGTCTGGGGGAATGTCAGTGTTTTACCAGGGTGAACTCGTTAGCCGAGCTTCATTCAGTCCCAGACACGGCCGAGAGTTCTTTCCCGTGAGAAAAAACAAAGGGATCCCTTTCCGAGTTGTTGGGGTTTTTATTCCTTTTATATTTTGAGATATACTTTAATAAATCAGAACTGACTTCATGGGAGTGGGGGGTTGTTTTGTTTTGTTTTAAATACATGAAAATGAAAGGCCCACGGGGCAATCTCTCAGAGGCCTCGGACTGAGGCTCCCCGAGGAATCAAGGCTAAGCAAGGACCTCTGGCCGTGGTCTGTCCCTCTCTGTCCTCGCTCGCCACTGCTAAAGCAATCTCATGAGGTGACCACTGAGGGAGCACAGCTCTGGCGTTTGAGACGGAACAGGAACCGGGGGTCCCAAGAAAGCCTTTCCTAGAAACCACGCAGGGATCCCCAACAGCTTTGGGGGCCCACATGGCCCTCCCCTAGCCTTTATGGTAGCTTCTAAGGTTTCATAGCTTGATATTTCCTCCCCACATTTGAAGGACAATCATAGGGTTCACCAGTGTCCCTCAAGTTGATTCCAGTTCCCGGGGTAGAACTGTGCTCCAGGGAGTTCTCAATAAAGGAACGTGTTTATGGAGTTTTCAAAGGTTGATTCTCCCAAAACAGAGCACCAGACCTCCCCGCCAAGGCACCCCTGGGTGCGCTCAACCTTTCACCCTTGCAGCTGGCAGCCAAGCGTGTTAACCATGTGTACTATCTGAGGAGGGACGGTTGATCACTGTTACTGTGCCCATTGGAGCCATGTAAAAAAGCAATCACTGTTCTCCCTCTGAGAACATTCTAGGATTACTAGAAGGAGCCATTTTCACATGAAGGGACAGTTCCTTAAACGGAATAGATCTGGGTTTATGAAACCTATATTTTTCTTACCCCTCCCACCAAAACATTGCTGGGGAAGTAAAGATCCTGTGGTAGGCATTTGGGTACTGTAATCAATGACCGTATCGGCCCTCCTTGGCTTGGCTTCCCTGTTGGAGGGGCCAGACAAGCCTCTGTGGGCCATCCTTCTTTACCTATTCGGGCACCAACCATTCCTCCCCACCACTCTACATCCAGGCTGGGTCCAGGAATGTGTTGTAACGGTCACGCAGAGCTCAGACCCGATTCCCCATTAGGAAAGGGCTCACTAGGAAGTCGACAGATGACCATGTGTCAGGATCATCGAACAGTATGGATACAGTCCTTGGGGTCCTCAGCCAGCAGCCAAGTACTCTCAGGCTCTCTGCCGTATGGTAGCTAAGTCTCTCTCCAGTCCTCAGTCTCCCCACTGCTAAATGGTCCCTTGGCCTTTTCGTCAAGGGGCCAGGAAGCCAGCCTGTCACTCTGTCCCCCAGTTCTGCGGTCTCAGGCCAGACGAGGAGAAGGTACCCCTCAGTCTTGGCACTGCTCCTTCGAGTCTCCTTGTCACCGTCTCTGAGGTGATCTTGAGTGTGCTCTTCCAAGCTCCTTGGGGCTTCTCTGTCCTTCTGCTCCAGAGATGGCTCATTCTTATGGCCAGGGAGAGGAAACACCATATGACCAGTCCTCTCGCCTAGTGTTCCACTGGCCCGGCGTGAACAGCCCCACCCAACCCGATGAGGAAGAATGGTCTGATTTGGGTAGAAGAGCCTGTGAGCCTTCAGACCCAAACACGAGGGCTGCCTTAGCGGAGCTTCCCAGCATTTCTGGAGTTGCCTGGAAGAGACCCAGTTTCTGTTTCCACTTACCAGCTCTTTGTTTGTCTCTCGTACACAACCACAAGTAGCAGGAACCACATTCCACTTCCTCACAGCTCCTAGGACACGACCTAGCCCACAAGAACCACTGATTAATACTTGTGGAATTAGTCTTCACTCGATAGGCCCCTTTCTTCCTGGTTGAAGTGACTGTAACTCGTGTCCAGGTTACCTGCCTTGGGTCTATATGCTCAGGTCCAACCTTGTCTCACCCAGACCCACGTTCTTGTTCATGGACTGGGAACAGCAGATATGTCTGTGAGGTGTGGTCCCCATGTTTCATCCCCCTTCCCTGACTCACCCAAAGCCAAGTGCTACATCCTTGTAGCCTTTCTAAGAATTTATAAAGGCGGGGGAGGTACTGCCATAAAACGTTGAATATGAGACCCTCAGAACTTTTGGCTGGGGGTGGGGGTGGGGGTAGGCAGTTGTATCCGACTGTGGTTGTTCAGTCCCGTTGAGTTGGGTTGGCTCATAGGGAGTCCACGGGACAGAGGATTGATTACCTCATCAGCAGGATCTCGACAGAAGCAGACTTCCAGCTCTTTCCTGGAGTAGCTCACAGATTCAACCCCTGGTTTTAGACAGCAGCTGAGCTCTTCACTACTCTGCCACCAGGGCTCCTTACCAGAAATTCATCCCCTAAAACATTTTCTTTGGCCTTTTCTACACGTCCGTAAGCAAGCCCAGCTCTGCTCTCCTTAGCACATTAAAGTAACTTCCTAGGTAGGTACAGAGATGTGTTCACTGTATCCGAGACAAGAGCTCACCATCCTCTGTGCTGAAGAAAGTGACCCAAAGAAGTCAATTTACATTCTGTCTGTCACGCCGGACCACAAGTTCGGTGCATAATAGGCAGGTCAATCATCCCCCAAAGATATTCGTGTCTTCATCCCCAGAAAGGTGCTACTTTACAGGGCAAAGTGGATTTTACAGGTGTGACTGATTTAAGGGTCTTGCAATGGAAGAATGATCCTGGATTATTTCAGTGGGCCCAATGTAATCCCAAAGGTCCACCTCAGAGGGTGGCAGAGGGTCAGAGAAAGACTAGGAGATGTGACAATGGAAGCGGGGGTTGGTGTGATACATTGCAAACACAGAGGGAGGGACCACACGTCCAGGAATGCAGAAGTCTCTAGAAGTAACGATGGTGAGGTGTGGACTATCTTATTTGGATATGGGATCAGGTAGGGCATCATACTTGTGAAACTCAAAAGCTCAAATAACTACCATCAAGCCCATGCTGACTCATGGTGACCCTATAGGATGTGATAGAATAGTCCTGGTGAGTTTCTGAGACTCTGCTCATGGGAGTAGAAAGTCCCATCTTTCTTCTGAGGAGCAGCTGGTGGTTTTGAACTAGTAACCTTGTAGATCACAACCCAACTTGAATCCACGATACCAGCAGGGCTCCCCTTGGTAAAATAGAAAGTCAGTATAAAAGAGGAAGATGCTCAACGAGATGGCGGGACACAGTAACAATGGGTTCAAACATCACTACGCTTGTGAAGATGGCACAGGAGCCAGGGCAGTTCTCTGTCACACGTACCATTGTATGCGACAGGATCCGCTCAGGGCAGCTACCATACCAGTGAGGCTCGGTAAGATGACAAGCGTGGTTTGCAGTCACTGGGTTTGTGGTCATGGGTTGCAGCAGCAATACAAAACAAAGACAGTCTTCCCAACCCCGAGGTGAAGTAACTCACCGACAACCATGCCACAGCTCAGCTGTCCCACCAAGGACAACGCTGAGAGTTTGAGTGATTCACTCCTTCTCTGTGTACGTATCGTTTGAGTGCCAGGGACGTCCCAGGCAGAGGGCAGGGTGGAAGGAAGGCAATCGAGAGAAACACAGCTCCCGTCCTGGCCCTAGTAGAGCTCACAGTTTAGAAGAGGAGCAGACCACAGATCGATCACAGAACCACCATAAACATCAAAGATCATAAGCAATGAGGAAACAGCATTTCAATGCTGCGTGGGTGAATGAACAGACAGGAAGTAGGAGTAGTACTGAATCTATTGTCCACCAACATCGCGTAGCCCTGGAATCGAGTCCGACGCATGGTGACGCCCTTCGTGCCACCGTCCAACCATGCCGAGGGTTTTCAATAGCCGATGGTTTAGCAGTAGCTCACCGGGCCTTTCTCTGAGGG